ATAATCTGAGTGTATTTTGGTGTGATAGACCATAAATTAATCCAAACAGCAAACAGTTAAATAAAGAGAAAACTAAAGCCATTGCATTTTGGAACAGAGGTGTGGTTCTCAAGATAAATGCGTACTTTGGCTCTAGGGGTCAAACAACAAAAAAAGAATCTTGGTGTGATTCTGAAGTCAGATCTGAGTCTTAGTAGTCATGTCAAAGCAGTAACTAAATCAGCAAACCATCTCAAAAACATTCCAAGAATTAGATGCTTTGTTTTCAGTGAGAAACTTGTTAATGGTTTTATCACCAACAGGGTAGATTACTGTAATGGACTCCTCACCGGCCTTCCCAAAAAGACAGTTAGATAGTTGCAGCTTATTCAGAACACTGCTGCCAGGAATTTTACCAGAACCAGAAAATCAGAGCACATCACACCCACCTTGCTTTGCATTGACTATAGATGAAATATTATAAAGCATTGAACACATGAAGAAAGAAAAGTGTAAAAAGGCATGGAAAGCCCAGAAAGCAGCATAAATCTCTCAGTATTTATTCGGCAGCCCTGCCCTCATCAGTGCAAACGAATATCAGCTGCTTCATTTCCAATTCCTACAATACCAGATCATGAAGATGAAACCAGGGTGGACATTTCAACAGGACAATGATTACAAACGCAGCCAAAAAAATCTTGCATTTGCTTTCGGAAAAAAGAAAATAAGGCTGTTATAATTACGCAGCCAATCACCTGACCTGAAACCAATAGAAAATAAGAAGTAAAAGTCCGAGTTCACAAGACGTTTAGGGTGCTTTCACACCTAGACTTTTGCTTCGGAACCTGTCTCGTTTGCCCAGTTGGTGCGGTTCGTTTGGTGTAAGTGAATCCAGCAATCGTTCGCGGATCCGCGCCTAAACAGAGATCGCCTGAATAAGGTGGTCTACGCTCAATTGAAACGAACTTTGAAGCTGATTGATTGTAGTGAGAAAGCGATACGATCCGAGCCTGGCTATATCACAGTGCTTTATGGATATGTAATAGGCATTTATAGCTATAAGAAGAGAGAATTAAGAGTAGGGCGGGAGGTCATGCCAGACATCCCAAGTCGCCCAGAAGTTCAGGAAATGCCGCAAACGCACCCTTAGGGTGCTTTCACATCTGTGAATTGATTCATTTGTTCCAAAACAGGGATTAAAATTGTTACATTGTTGCTCTTTGTTCTTGGTGCGGTTCGCTTTCACATGGCAAAGTTTCTAACTGGACCAAAATAGCTAAAACAAGTCACATGTGAGTAAACTCTCCTCACATTGGTCAGAGTCCCGCTCAGCTGTCATGCATCCTTATTTAAGTTATGACGATGAGCAATTACACAATATTAGCTATGTAAAGACCAGAGAAGGTTTGGTGATGTGTGGCAGGGTGCGCGTGATGAGGGATGCGGTGGGGAGGGGTGAGAAGGGTGTGCGACGTATAAACAGTTGAAGTTAGAATATATATATTATTAGACATACTGTGAAAATTTCCTTGCCCTGTTAAACATCATTTTGGAAATATTTAAAAAAGAAAAAAAAATTAAAAGGCTAATAATTCTGACTTAAACCATATATATATATATATATATATACAGGCCCGGATTGGCTAATCGGGAGGACCGGGAGAATTCCCGGTGGGCCGGTCTGTTTTTTGGCCGCGAGGGCCGGTGTCCCTAGCTGCTTGCACTCTCAGCAGTCACACTTTTTTTCTTCTATTTATTTATTTGACCATAGCTTTACTCTTTTTAATCATTATTTTACCGTAGTGCCGCTCTTTTTATTTATTTTCTCGCAGCCCCGTGAGAAAAATGCAGCCTGCAGGCTAACTAACGTTAATGATGATGATGTAATGCAACTATCGCCCCAAACAGCGGCACCTTAGTGAATATAAGAATTCGAATAAAATTAATAAAACACCTGCTCAATGAAACTCAAATGATTCACTACATTAATAAATCTGACATAACTTGATCAGAAATCTAAAAATAGGAGAAAAAGATAGAACCATCAAAAAAAGAAAGTAGTGCTGTGTCTTAAGGGTCGCAAGTCATTAGTTATTTTTTACTCTCACTGTAATAGCGCCAATGTGGTCCAGTGGTAAGCACATTGCATTTTAATGTCGCAGACCTGTGATCGAATCTCCCATGATAAATCTGTTTTTTTATTTTTTTTCGATTTTATTGTTAAGACATTATATACTGTTAGGGCTGTTGAACATTTGAATTTCTAAAGCAGCAGTTTTCTTGAAAAAGACGTGATAGTGCCATTAGTAACTGAATTGGAATCAGTCGTGAACTGAGGTGGGCCGGTCTGGCTTGAAACTCCAGGGCTGAAAATGAGTCCCACTCCGGCCCTGTATATATATATATATATATATATATACACACACACACACACACACACACACACACACACACACACACACTGTTGAAGTCAGAGTTATTAGTCCCCCTTTTAATTTAATTTCACCCTTGTGCGTATTACTCCACCCACATATAGCAGCATTACTGCTGTTGGGCAACATAATGTACTTGTGAGGCTTTTTTCAGTCAAGAATGTAATTGTTGAAATTGCAACTATGCAGTTTATTTATAAACATAGGGCCTATTTCAAAATATTTATAACTTCTGAGAGACATCGCGTCTTTGAAAAAAGACGGTTGACGTCCATCCACAAGATGGCGACAGAGATCACATAATAACCCCTTTAAAGGAGGAAAAATGCAGCGTAATTTTAAACTACAACTGGTCAAATGATTATTAAACAGTTAAGTTATATTCTAAGTCGATCTCTCTCTTTTGTATGTTGTAGTACTGTATTTTATAATTGTGTACTGTGTGTGAGTAGGGACGTGTTTAATGTTTTTCTTTATAACAACCACAACATTGATTGCACTGCTTTTTTCAGGGTTAATTATCGTGATATCCCGTTTGCAACAGAAAAATTCTGTAGACTTTAAAACTGTAGGGAGATATCTCTGTAGACTGATGGCAATTCATGCTGTTCAGCCTTATAATCTTAAAATGTCAGCAAAATCAGCTGTTTTGTCATCACAAAACATCTATTTTGTCATCACATTACACTAGAGAATCATTCAAACACTAGCTCTAAAGTGACGTTGGTGAATTAGTAAGTAGTTCCTCATACAAAAGGCTTTTTAGACTCTCTGTGTTTGATTTTTCGTTTTATATACCTGATTATGCCATCGAACTGTTGTATAAGCGCAATATCACACTCGTAGCAGTACGATTTGGCTGTATATTGGCGATTTTGACGATATATAGTCACATCGCACTGCTACTCATGTGATATTGCTCATATATATATATATATATATATAAAGATTCTATCAACAAACAAATTACACCTAGAAAACATTCCAATGAGAAAAATGTGTGCTTGAATGTACAATAAGCCCATCAGTACATCCTAGTGACATCACTAAACCCAGATAACTAAGCAAATCACCCAGCTCAGTAAGAATGTGATTGTTCTTCCAAAGGATAAAAATCCTGCCTTTGTCTGAGTCAACAGCTGTATTTTATGAGTCATGAGTTTCTCAAGCTGAGCTCATGATGATGCATGCTTTTGAGAGGAAATCGATTGCTCTTTGCTTTTAGCTTCACTGATCAGATGTGGCAGGAAAAAGAACATTTTCCTTTGGCTCCTGCTCACACAATAATCAAATCCATCTGTCCAAATGCTCATGTTAGAGGTGGGAGCTTTAGTCGTCATCTGATTCATTACACAAGTAGTGAGGTCAGCGTTCACCCTCCCTCACAGTCATAATGAAACTATGCCTGCTGAAAAGTGGCCAGTGAGCAGTGTGACGCAATGTGGTATATCCAGTATTTTAGACATTGCGGCGAAGAGAGAGTATTCATTTTTTGTGAGTCAGTTTGGGCAAAGATAGAAAAACACACTAAGACACATCCCTGCGAGAGGCTTAAACAATGACTTCAACAGTGAGCCTCGACCACAAAGCTTGTAATAAAGTTTCATGAGCTCCACAGTTTGGACTTCAGTTTTGTCTGAATCAGGATTTTTTGTGTAAATCATTTGTACATCCACTGAACTGAAAATGGCTTTTACATAATAAAAAATTCACATACACAAGCATTAAAATGTTTACAAAAATGGACCATGTTTTTTATAGTAAAACCATGGCTGTTGTTTTTTGACAGACTGATTAATATCATCGTATAACTACAGTTTTACTACTAAATACCCTGGTTAAAATACACTTTAGCCTGGTTTATACTTCTGTGCAAGTGATCGGCGCGACCCACTGTGCATGCCTTGCACGTTGCTGAACATTTATACTTCTGTTTGGTTTTTGGGACTAAGAAGCAGCTTATCTGCTGATCTAAGAGCAGGCGACGATATATAGGGGTGTACATTTCAGATATGTAGTGCAAGGCAGAACCATTTAAGGATCTAAAGACAAACAAAATAATTTTAAAAATAATTCATATTGTACAGATAACCAGTGAAGTGTGGAAAAATCAGAGTGATATGATCAAATTTATGACTCCCTGTTAAAAGATGTGCTGCACCAGCGCCAGCTGTAGACAGGCCACAGAAGACTCACTTATCCCTATAAAATGAGTTACAGTAATCCATGTGGGTAGTGACAAAGCCATGGATTACGGTTTCAAATTGTTGTCTTGACAGAAATGGCTGTATTTTCCTCAGTTGTCTCAAAGCTTGACTTGACATGTTAGGATCGAGTTTAACCTCCAGATTTTGTGATGGTGGGTTTGATGTGCTGTGCTATGTCACTCAAATCAACCGTGGAAGTCACAGTAGTATCCCTCGAAACCCAGACTTATCATGTTAAACAGAGTAAAACAGTAATATGGTGAGATATTATTTTAAAACTCAATAGTAAAACTTGGTTTAAAAAAATTAAAAAATGTAAAAAGTTTACACAAAAAAAAATGTTTGTGTTACCATGTTATTATCAGATTTGAAATAAGAATTATTCACAAAATGTAATGCATTTATTAAATTCTTTAAAAAGAAGACTGTATGATTTATACAATACATTCTGCATGTTTATCGAGGCCCATGTGTAAATTGATGATTTTTGTGAGAAGACAGATGCAGTGTGCTTATTTAAATGGGATAATATAAAAAAAAGTTTAAATTAAAAGTTTATTACCTTCAAGATAACCTGCCCATAAAGGTATGGTACAAAACTGTGTGGACAAACTGCAGGCTTATGACACCCAACAGCTCACTGTGACACTACACCACTCCTGTTTCTGAAACACCATCTACATACAGTGACTAATGTAAATTACCAATATTTCTTATATAACTATAGACAATTTTATGATCACATCATCAAACTTTATGTTTTAATGATGGCTTGTCATTGCCATTTAAATAAAATGTTAACCGTTTTACTTCTCATATGACAGTTGAACATCTCGACAATATGTAGAGGAAATCTCAGCCATGTTCATAGGCAATGAGCAACTGAAATATTGTATAAACACATAGAAAGAATATGAGGATTAAAATTTGTACTTTAAAAGTCACTGATTTGGTAAAATACACGATAAACCTATTTGTCAAATTTTTGATGACTATAAAATAAAAATAAATAAATAAAATATAAAATAAAAAATTCAAGCTGAACAAAAAGGCTAAAATAATATGTGATTTTTTATTTATTTAAGTGATTAATAATTCCACATGATTAATTTGATTGCATAATCAGATAACTAAAGCTAGTCAAAAAAAGATTTTATATTAATACATTCAAGTATTTTTTTAGCTACATTAAATGGCATTTCAACATTTACTGTTTTATAACTCATAAATGATTACATTCATTTTAAAAAACAAGACAACATTTGGATATCATTTCAAAATCACAATGACAAAAGTGTGTACAGCAAGAACATCTAGATCAACACAGAGTTTAAATTTATAGTGTAAAATAAAACAAATCCATAACCTGCAGATTTGTTTCCCCTATCCACTCATCTGCTTTCTCCATCACAGGGATTCTCACAGAACACCACTCTGTTTTCCAAACGGGCACGTTCAGCCTGAAACACTAGCTTATGGCTTACTAAAGTCTCCATAGGACCAGACCTGATCATAGTTGGGTCTCCATTCTATATTGACAAAGAGAAAAGCATTATGAGAGCTCAGATGACTCAGATTCTATAGTAAAAACGCAGAGAAAATGATCGTCTTACCGTCACAGCTGAAATGAAGGAATCAATAAGATGAAAATCTGCACAGCCGTGACCTCCTTTAGCAAAGTTCCCTGGAACTGTCCCATCTGAGGTGTGTTTTGTGGTTTTATTGCCGAGGAAGTCGAACACTGTGATCTCATGTCCATCGCAGGTCAGTTCACCCTTGTGAAATAATGAGAAAATAAATGCCAAACACATTTTTATTATAGGCAACAGGAGACAAATGTCTTTCAATGAAACATTTGATCATATCAATACACGTAGGACCAGTGCAAGAGAGCACATAACCCCTATTTTGAAAAATCTGCACAGGCTTCAAGTCAGTTTTCGAATTGATTTTAAAATCCTCATGCTTGCGAACAAGGCCTTGAATGGTATACATTTCAAATATTTATTTAAGCTTTTAATCCCATACATTTCTAGACATGCTTTACGTTTGTCTGATGCTGGTCTTTTAACTGCTCAGCCAACACAACCAGTCTATGAGAGACGGGACATTCTCTTCATTGTCACTTAAATTGTGGAACTCTTTATCTCTCTCTAGAGGTAAAGACTCTATTCACAAAGCAGAATCCCTGAGTACTTTTAAATCATCTTTTAAAACTTACTTTTTTAGGGTAGCTTTTGTTTGACTTTTATATGATTTTTAGATCTATTATTATTATTATTTTATTTGTTTTTAGTTATTTTTATTAATACACTTTTTTGCATTTATCCTTTTTATTTACTGCTGCACATTTTATGCCTGTAAAGTGCCTTAAGGTGCTACTTTTAAAGGCACTATATAAAAAAAAAAGTTAATATTATGATTATCATTATTATTATCAATATTATTATATAGTTTGGCCACATTGAGGCACCAAGACAATGCACAATTGAGTGAAAACGTTTTGAATAAATCACAATGATATCAATTCATCTCTAAAAATAATGTTTGTTTTTGTATTTAGGGACATTTTGTCTATCTGTGTCTCCTGTAACACATTCAGTTTCAATCATCATAAAAATATTAAAGTTTTATTTTCATCTATTTTGGTTGTTTATTCCATTAAGTTAAACAAATGTTTGCATGAAACATTTATTTTCTGTATTATTTAAAATTTGAGTAATGAAAAATACATTTTGCATCTGCCCCTACATTCTGGTCAACGCTGTCACTGATTATAAAACGGCAGGACAATCTTTAAAGCAGAAAAAGAATGTTGCCTGCTCCAAGTGATGTCATTTCCACTTGGCAGGAAACTCTGGAAAGCACTGAGCTACATGTATGTTATTTATTCATATCTCATTATTTTTTGTATTACATGTTTAGGATACACCAATGGTTGATTAATTCTACTTTTCAACTATTCTGTCATTGTGATATTTCAGTGAATTTCTTATTCATGTAAAACAATAACAATCTTCTTTTGAAAATAACAGCTTGAGCTACAGTGGAAAATTCTGATAAACGTCTGCCCAAACTGTTATCGGTTTAAAAAATTCAACAATAGAAAGTTAATACTGTATATGTTATACAACAATTTAATGAAACAATACACATGATCAAATGTTCCCTATCAAATGTAAGCATTTAGTATTATTTTACATTAATAATGGATTTAGTTTTCTGCAAATTATACATTTGTTGTATTCCAGTTTAAGTAAAATGAATGTAAAATGCTTGATTTGTACCCAAAATTCTGGAATTAGAAATGCATACATACTTGTAATTTCTTTCAATAATAAAAATGACATCTGATGAGCCAACATGCCATGATGTCATGTGCAACAGTTTTAAATACCAATTTTTATACAATACTTTTAATACCTTTACATGTGATTACACATTTACACTTTCAATATTTTTTGCTTACAATATTAAGTTTGTGTATACTGATCCTACTGTACATGTAAGGCTGTTAAAACAGATGTTTTGTTTTTTTAACAATTTGACTCATTTTTTAGTGGCTGTTGTTAAACTAGTCAACTAGTCAATTACTACATTTCTGTTTAAACTTTAATAATGCATACACTTATGTACAGTAGAAGGCAAAATGTTTTATACCTCCTGTAAAGTTTTTTATGTAGAATGCTCAGCATAACTGAGTACAGCCCATTTTGAAAATGAATATTTTTTTCCATTTCTCAGTGAATATAGGCAATATATTTTGGTGCATTTAAACAAAACAGATTTACTTAACAGATATATTTATTTTAAAAAAGATTAAGTCACCAAATACATTTTAAAATTGAAAGATAATACAATTAAGGTCAAGCAAAAAGAATTACAACCTACAAAATATCAACAATTATTTTTTTCTTTTTTGCTTCTTTTGATTTTTTTCTTTTTTTAAGACTTGTATTTAATTTTTTTTTCTATAACATACAAATTTGGCTGTACTAGTTTTTGGACTGTTATCGTAAGTTATTTTGTTAGATGAGCACCAGATTTGGCTTCAGTACTGACTAATCTATTGTTTATGCACAAATATAATATTGTAGAGCTTCCTATTAAAATATGAATTTAAAAGATTGATTTGTGAGGGGTGTACTTATATATGCTGAGCACTGTATATTTTTATTTCCCAGGTGCTGTTAATTGGAGCAAGGACATTTTCATAGTATTTTCTATAATGTTTATTCTTCTGAATAAAATATTATTTGTTTTAGTTTGGCTGGAATAAAGTTATTTAGAAAATTTTGTAAAAACTAGTTCAAGGACAATATTATTAGCCCCATTAAGATTTTTTTTAATTGGCTGCACAACAAACCACAGTTATCCAATGACTTGCCTAAATATCCTAACTTAACATATTTAACCTAGCTAAGTCTTTAAACTGCACCTTATACTATTAATGCCATTATCTTTCAAAATATCTGGTAAAATATTATCTGCTGTCATCATGACAAAGAAATTAGTTATTACAAATTATATATTAAAACTATTATGTTGAAAAATGTGTCTCTGTTAACCCTGTTTTGGAAATATTTTACAAGGAATACAAATTTTACAGATAAGCTAATAATTTGCCTTTAACTGGATGTATGAAATCCATTTAAAAAGTATTTAAAGTCATCAATGTGCTCATATTTTAATGTTAATCAAAATGATCTCCCACCTTACTACCATAGATAGTGGTTTTGCGATTACATATTTCCTTTGTGAATGCAACCATGGTGAATGCGGCAGTCAAGCCTCCTTCAAACTCCATGTTCACTACCTGCAATAAATAAACAAACTATGAAACTGAATATCTTACTTTGGTAATGATCAATGAACTATAAATAATAGAAATTAATACAATATAATAATATAACTATAAATCATTTAACTTAAAGTTATGGAATACCTGTAATGCAATTGTGTATGATATTCACCAACCTGATTTGAGCACACATCGTTGTCACAGTCGTAGACGCAGCGCCCATAAGGTCCAGTTCTCAGGGCTTCAGTCACTGATTCAATATCAGGAAGCGAGTTGGAACAAATCACTGACACTGGCCAGCCAACAGCACCCTGAGTTTATATTCCACATTTTCTTTTGTGTTATTTTCACAGTGATGTAAAGAAAATAATAATGCATATTTTTTAACAATTTTTTTTGGTACACATTACACAACAATGCCGTAATTATTTAATTAAACAATACAATCAAAAAGCAATAGTGTAAATTATTGTACATTTTCTATTGTTCAGAAAACTTTCAGAAATAATCAGATTTTATGTTCAAGAAACATTTTGCATCATTATCAGTATTAAAAATAGTTGCTAAATATTTTGTGGAACCTTTTATATAATAAACTGTAATTTTATTTGGATGAACAGAAAGATCCAAAGATTAGTATCAATTTGAACTTTTATACAAATTGTTGAACAATTGAATCAAAATATGAATCTTTAATTTATTTATTTATTATATTACTGACTCCAAACTGGAATGGTAGCATACATAAATGCATTACCTTTTTCACTCGATCCAAGTAGATTTTCTTTGCAGAGTATGCACAATCTCCCTCTACAGGACAGTCTAAACAGCGATTTGCAGCCTCTTTTGGCTGGGAAAATAGTGAAATACATATATTTTTAAATATTAATTTTAGGGACAGTATATAAGATTTTTCATTTAAAAAGACTATTCACCCAAAATGAAACTTCTTTTATCCTTTACTGTCAACTTGTTCCAAACCTTCTTAAGTTTCTTTCCTCTGTTGAACACAAAAGATATTTTGAAGAATGTTAGAAACCTGTAACTATTGACTTCCATAGTATTTGTTTATCACTCTATGAAAGTCAATGGTTACAGGTTTTCAGCTTTTTTCAAAATATATTCTTTAATGTTCAACAGAAGAAAGAAACTCATAATAGTTTGGCACCACTTGAGTAAATAGTGAGTACAATTTCATTTGAGGTGAACTTAATCTCCTCAATAGTTTTTTTTAAATAACTAAAACCAACCTTGTTCTCTTTAGTGAAGTGGCTAAGCGACCCGAATGATGAAACTTTGATACACCTGCAAAATAAAATTTAATTTCAGATTCTTTATCAAACATCTCAACTGTAAGATCTACATTCTAACTTTCTGAATATCAGTACTGGAAAAATGCTATAGTTTTGTTTCATTGCATTTCATTTCATTAATGTTTTATTAGGCAGATGTCCAGAGCTAAAACTCAAGTATATTTCCTGATATACATGGTCATAATGTTTCATCATGTAATAATGCTCCTCAATTCATTGTATTAATTCTGTTTTTTCGACATATTTTTTTTTACTCTCATAGTTCCAATTACCATTGAATTAACACAAACAACAGTTTCAGCTAAACATCTTTTTTAATCAGGCTTCCCACTTTAAGCTAAATGTCCATTTCCCTGACTTTACTCAGATTTTTACAGAGTAAAACAGATTTTTACAGAGTAAAAATCTGAATTACCATGACCTACAGTATATTATTTTGATGCCGGCAGCTAGCTCCACTGAAGCTAAGCAGGGCTGCGCCTGGTCAGTAACTGAATGGGAAAGCTTGGTTGCTGCTGGAAGTGGTGTTAGTAAGGCCAGCAGGGGGCACTCAACCTGTGGTCTGTGTGGGTCCTAATGCCCCAGTATAGTGATGGGGACTATATACTTTCAGTGTATGCCGTCTTTCAGATGAGACGTTAAACCGAGGTCCTGACTCTCTGTGGTCATTAAATATCCCAACATGTCCTTTGAAAAGAGTAGGGGTTTAACCTCGGTTACAACCTCATTGAAACTTAAATGAGTCAAGACATCTGGTCTCATTCTTCCATTCATTCTTAGGAAAACAAAACTACTTATGCTGCTTAATGCTGCAAACTGTACTTATTTACATACTGCTTTAATATATTTGATTGCCAAGCGAGAAGCGGAAGAGGAATAAAATGGCACCAAAAAATAAACTAATCATAACACTAGTCAAATCATGTGAAACAATGTGATTAAAAAAAACAGTATAGAAAATTATCATTTTGATAAATGCAAAATAAAATTTTGAAAGATAAATAAAAATCCATGATATTCTATTAATTGGACAAATATATAATGTACTGTGCAAAAGTCATTACCAGCTTTGGGAGGCTAGGACCTTTGCACAAATCTATCTATCTATCTAAATGGAACTGAGCAAATGACTATATCTATAGGTATATAGACTATACCTTTAATATTCAAACAGAAAATGTGGGAAATATGTACACAATAATCAAAACAAAATTACTTTTGGAATGAAAAGACTAGCACCAAATGTGACCTCTTTAGCACTAAGCAACATGACTTTTTTGTTGATTCTTTTCTGAAATGATGTGCTACAGTATTTATATCAAGCATCTTTAGGCATTTCTAAGAGTTCTTCCTTAGATTTAGCATGTTCTATATTTCTTTATCTCTCCAGGTGAATCTTTTACTACCCATAATATTGCCTATACTTAATGTATGTAATATTCAGATCTTGACACTGTTGAGGCCATTTCAAGACCGCAGAGATGGCAAAATTACACACATCCTTACTTAAGTAGAAGTACAGATACTCACGTTTAAAAGACTCTGGTAAAAGTAAAAGTTCTGACTACACTTTTGTACTTAAGTAAAAGTAAAGAAGTACGGCCTCAAAAATTTACAAAAGCAAAAAAGTACTTGTTTCAATCACAATAAAAAAACATGCAGTATAGATGAATAATAGGTAACTAAATTGGCAGTAGTGTGTAAGTGTGTGTGTGTATGCGTGAATGTGAGTGTGTATGGGTATTTCCCAGAACTGGGTTGCAGCTGGAAGAGTATCTGCTGTGCAAAACATGACCTGGAATAATTGGCGGTTTATTCTGCTGTGGTGACCTCTGATAAATCAGGGACGCAGCTGAAGGATATTGAGTTAGGAGGTAACTACTCCTCACATCCTATTAATACATATAAAAAAACTGACTCCAATTTTATGTAAAATGTTTGTTGCCAAATTTGTGAAAGTAGCCAAGAAGCATCAAATTATGCAACATAGCCTAACAACATTGATTAAAAAGGCGGCTCATGTATCATCATCCTGATGCAAACTCAGCGTTTAGCATGTAGTTTTTCGGCTGTTAGATCAAAAACATCAGCTGCCATTCGTGTTGATATACTCTAAAAATAATTCTGTAGGCCTGTCTATCTTTATAAATAATGTCGTACATTTTACACTGAATTCGTCCAAAATATATTAAGGGTTTTTTCTTTTGCTAAAATAAATTCTTATTTAATTTGACTGCAAACTTTTTTTTTTGCATTAGGCTAAAGCTGCTAATTTCTTCAAAGAGCAGCTCTTATAAATAATCCAGAAAATAAAGGAAATAAACTGCAGTGCATACATTTTTTATAAAGTGTTTGATTGTTTTATTACTAAGTACCAATCTTTACAAAAAAAAGCACTATTTGTAAACTGAAAGCCTGCAGTAATGATCAGAAGTGGACAAAAGGTTTAAGCATTTAAACGGCATGTTTTTGAACTGAAATGCGTCTCTCTTGTTTACCTGTGATCCGATCGAGCAAAAGGTTTTATTATTACCGTGTAAACAGGGCAGCATCAGTTGTTAAATTCGCCGAATCTCTCTCTCACATCTGCATAGTCATTCAAGCCTTTCTTATAGTAATCTTCATAAACTAGCCCACGTACGGTGCGCTACAGCCACGCACCGTAGCACACAGCCACGCAATAAGGAAAAATAGACATTAAAAAGGCACTCATAATGCGCAATGATAAGAAATAATATAGATCGCGCCACCAAATAAATGAAAACGAAAGTAACGACCGTGGTTTTAAAAATGTAAGAAGTAGAAAGCACAGATATTTGTGTACAATATAAGAAGTAAAAGTAAAAAGTTGTCAAAATATAAGTAGTGGAGTAAAGTGCTGACACCAGAAAAATCTACTTAAGTACAGTAATGAAGTATTTGTACTTCGTTACTTCCCATCTCTGCAAGACTGTCAGTGTCATCAACTGTTTTTCTCTCCAAATACAATTTCATTACATTAGCAGTGTGTTTGGGATCATTATCATGCTGAAAAATAAAACTATTACAAAATATGTGCTTTCTAGTAGGAATTACAGGATAAATTCAAACATGTCTGTATTTTTATCATTCACAATCTTATTAATATTGACAACAGCTCTGGCAGAAATGCAGATCAAAACAAGACATCTTAACATTCAACATTCAATAACTTCCAACTTTCATAATTATGTGGCATTCCAGAGCCTCCTTAAAGCACAGGCAGTCAGGGACCCTGTTGTACTGAAGAAAAAAAGTCACCTATGTCTTGGATATCTGAAGGGTGAGTAAATTAATAGCAATTGTTCAGTTATGGGTGAACTATCGCTTTAATAAAGATAATTCCCTGCAAAAAAAAATCATGACCACTGATAAATGAAGACATTCCAGTCATTCTTTCTATCAATATACTATCACTATTTATTCAGCTCAGCTCCCGCACACGTGCAAAAAAAGGATGGTAGATTAAGTGTACCTTCGTCCTCCAGCCCAGTGATGAATCAGATCCAGATCATGGCAGGATTTGGCTAACAGCGCAAAAGAGCTTTCTGCCTCGTTTCTCCAGTTCCCTCTGACAAAGGAGTGAGCAAAATGATAGAACCCCACCTATAAGAAAAGACAGATCTTACACAACACAAATACACACTGCACGCACCACACGCACACTGTACGTTTATTTAAACACATCCTACCGGTTCCAAGTGTTGAATGTGGATGACGTCTCCGACCGCTCCACTGTCAATCAGCAGCTGGATTATAGAAGAAAACTAGCGTTTTTTTCTGTCTGAGAACCTCTATGGTTACTTAAGAAGATTTAAAGGAAAGTCTAATTACTTTTATTTTGTGGATGACGGGATCGTATCGGAGAACATGGCCCACAGCAAATATGACACCATTCTGAATGATAGCTTCTACAATCTCTGTGCAGTCCTGCTCTGTTACCTTAGAAAACACACATTTAATGTATGGGATAATGGCACACATAAACAACAAACAAAGCCACAGAGAGTGGGCCACTTATATTCAGTATGAGTGTTAAGAGAAGAAAATTTTACTCCATGTTCTCTTTTTATTCATACTAGTTTTATGTTGGGGCATAGATACATTATATATTCCATAGACATATACACAATATATCGCCCTTTGTACAGTGCTGCCAGAACAAATGTCATTAAATGGCACTTAGTAAAGACTAAAGCCAATCTGAAAATGCTGGACTTTAGTGCTGTGTGCGGGTGAAGTAACGAGTAGTTACTATTTTTGTAGTAAACGAAAATACAAAGCACAAAGACAGAACATTTCATAAGATTTCGTTTTTTACGATTTTGTAAGATACGAACTTTTGTGCTAAACAAGTAACGTTATTGATTATAATAGTCACTTACTGTATTTACCATAAGGCAAAATAGCACCAACTTGCACTGAATTCTAGGCTTATGCTAGTTTTGTTGAATAAAACCATAAAAAAATCTAAATAAAATATGACAAAAAGACGCTGCAGTGCCAGAAACTTCTATTATTGTCGGCTAAGTGAAGTAACGGCTAGTTTTTTAAGTAACTTATAAGGAGTATTAACATAAGTCAGGTACATGAACTGTTTTTAAAGTGTTTCTGAATCAGTTATCATGGCCTGTCATGCCATGTAGCCACTCACAGCCATTGGTTTCTCCAGCAATATATGGTAGCCTTTCTTAGCTAACGCCACTGCAGGGTCCTGAAAAACAGACGAATACTGGACACTCAATCCATTTGAAGGAAAAAACTTGAGGTCATTGATTAACATAAGTAATCATAGCTTAACAGATTCACACAACTCTAGATATGAACATTGACTAAACACACATAAATCCCAGACTGCACCTTGTGAAGGCGATCAGGAGTGCAGATCAGCACTGCATCTGCAAACTTCTCTCTTTCCACTACACAACGCCAGTCTACATAACGAAGAAACAAATAAAAATAAATAAAAACTTCATTTTAGTACAAGTACAAAATGCTGGAAAAACTGGACATACCTTTGAATGTGTTTTGATCAGGTATTTTGTGACGTGCTTGAAGTTTCTTTCGAACAAACTCTCTGGGGTCCGCAACTCCTACTACCTATGAAAAAACAGATAGGCATGGTTATTTTAATTCGGGTAGTAATAATAATAAACTGCTGACTAATGATTTGTTGAATTTAATTCGAGATTGTATGATGTAATAGGCTTTATTAAGAGGTAAACATTTTCTTTTTTTGTTTCTCTCAACTTTGTATAAATTAAAGAGACCAATGGTTCCTGATTTAAAAAGTAACTGCTTTACCTGTGCAATTAAACAGGAAAAATCATCATCATACCTGCATGCGGTCAGGAAAAATCTTAGCATAATCTGAATAGTTTTCTCCTCTGTTTCCAGCTCCAACCACGATGACTTGCACAGGTGGCGGCATTTTTAGCGGATCTATAAAGATTTTACAATGCATACAGTAGGAATTAATGTTTTAAATCCCATCAATACCTAATGCAAATAGGTTCATAATTTGATCTATATACATAGTCAAACATGTGACATCTTACCACACAAAACACCCAAGACTGAATATCTGTAAGGTTAGGACTTTGCTTTATAGGTCAAGTTACTAAGATTGAAGTAAATTATTAAGCCAAACGTGGGATTTTCAGCATGGTGTTGATAAACCATGGTGTTGATAATCATTGCAGAGAAAAACATTAATATTAAAGTACACTTGTCTTTCCTTAATCATGGTTTTACTCACAAATAGCAAACAAAATCATTGTTTTGTAGTTAAACCATGCAAACCACAAGTCAACTATGATTTTACAGCAATAACCATTTACTAACCACTATTCTTTTTCGTAAATGTTTGATAAACAAATCAAACACTTCATGATATTATTGTAAGAAATAAGGAAAGTGTGTCAATTGATAGTAAAGCAGCAAGCGTTACCCGTTACCTTATAACAAACTGACACCACGAATCCTGATTCAAGACACAGTATATGTCTCAGAATCTGGTCACAATCCTATAAGTGCATTGTTGTGAGTATAAATATAAAACTTCATTCGGGATTACATTCGTGTACGTAAAACGAAACACGACAGTTTAGACCGAGCCACGACTCCTTCACTTCCTTGTTTACATTAAGAGATGACGTTCAAATGACGCAAGAGCAACGCTCAATGGAACGTATCCCAACATTGATGTCATGTTTTCCCCCCAAACCTGCATTTCTTTCACGGAACACAGTTTTTTTTGCTTTAAAGAACGTCCTGTTCTGAAATTCATAGAAACGCCTCTCATGAATGGCCCACACGTCCTAAACAACCTTTTTAAAATGAATGTCCAATTAATGAGCATATCTGCATTGAACTGCAGCTGTTATTTATCCTAATCTATCTGCAGAGATTTGTTTTCTCCCTTATTTAGTAAAGGATTTTCTTTCTCGACCTATGAATTCTTTATAACAATTGTTCTGTATTTCAGAAATCAAAAGATGTTAGTAAAATAGATTTGATTTTTATTAGTATTTCACAATTAACAACATAGAAGCCGGGGGTGATGGCAAAAGGGGGAAAAGTTTATATAGAAATTACTAAATATGTGTAATGTAAACCACTAAATTCAGATACGTCCTGCAACACATTCAAATGTAGCCTTTTTTATTGATTAAATGTGTTGTAAAGTTTTGTTGGTATTTGTAGAGGTGGCGGAGTGGTCTGTCATGAAATACATTTTTTTCAGCTATGATCACTTATCTCTTCTGCGTTCATGAAAATGAACCATTTTATTATACATTAAGTATATATGTTGTTGCTTTTTTACCATTTGTATAACCATAGTTTTACTACACATACTATGTTTAACTACGGTTAGTGTATAAATCCATAATTATTGTGTCTTTTACTATGGTTTAAGTATTATGTACCATAAATCATTTTAGTACGAGTACAGAAGATGATGATCTGATGAAGTTGGCCTGCTCCCTCTTGTGGACGAGCGTGATAAACAGTCATTTGATTTACAGATTTGAATCTGTACTTTTATCTTGCTAAGAATCACACTGATGCTCAATAGCTGCAAAAAAAAAAAAAAAAGAAAAGAAAAGAAAGACATCTTTATTTGAGTATTTATTTTGAACTCTGTCTAAGTCATACATTGGATTTTTTATTATTATTATTTTTTGGCTGTCATCCATTCACAACTCAACCACAAACTGTGTCATTAACACCTTAATGCATTGCAGCCACATCATAGAGTATGCTGACTGCACAATTGTGGTGGGCTTTCAGCAGAAAGCAGAGGATGTGAGACAGGTGTGGTGTGAAACCAGTTTCCAGAAAGAAAGCAGTAGTTTCTGAACTACAGAAGGGCTAAACATATTTCCTCACCATGTGTGTGCGTCGAGCCCTCAAATCATTCATTCATTTATTTTCTTTTCGGCTTAGTCCCTTTGTTAATCAGGGGTCGCCACCACGGAATGAACCGCCAACTTATCCAGCATATGTTTTATGCAGCAGATGCCTTTCCAGCCGCAACCAAACACTGGGAAACACCCATGGAATCTTGCATTTACACACATACACTACAGTCAATTTAGCTTATTCAATTTGCCTATACCACATGTATTTGGACTTGTGGGGGAAACCGTAGTATCTAGAGGAAACCCACGCAAACACAGGGAGAACATGCAAACTCATCACAGAAATGCCAACTGACCCAGCCGTGCCTCGAGCCAGTAGGTCTTGCGTTAACGAAAGATAACGGCCCACCACAAAAAAAAATTCACAAAATACTCAGATCAGCCCATCTTGCATCAACTTCCATTGTTGTTTTCAGTGAATTACAAACTTCATCAGATCATCTTGACCATCTAAATGCATTCAGTTGCCTCATTGTGATTAGGTATTTGCATTAAGGAGCCTACATTTACTGATCAAATCAAAACACTATTTTAAAGAAAATTCATTACAATAAAATAATTAAAAACTTGGATTTTTGTTTTTATGGCTGCACTGTGGCGCAGTGGGTTGTACATTTGCCTCAAAGCAAGAAGGTCGCTGGTTCGAGCCTCGGCTGGGTCAGTTAGTGTTCCTGTGTGGAGTTTGCATGTTCTCCCTGTGTTTGCGTGGATTGCTCCGGTTTCCCTTACAATTCCAAAGGCATATGGTAAAGATGAATTGGGTAGGCTAAATTGTCTGTTGTGTATGAGTGTGAATGAGTGTTTATGGGTGTTTCCCAGTGATGGGTTGCAGCTAGAAGAGCATCCATTGCATAAAACATATGCTGGATAAGTTGGCGGTTCATTCCACTGTGGCAACCCCTGATGAATAAAGGGACGAAAAGAAAATGAATGAATTAATGTTTTAATATATTTTGAAAATCCTTTGAGCTTTGAGCAATGTTGAGATTAATAAAACTTCCACCACATATTTAGATAAAAATTTAAGACACTTATGTACCTTAATGACTGAAGTAATACTTTGTTTTGTGATTATAAAATCTCGCCCATTTAACCACAATTATTATATAAAAACAAAACCCATGTGTTACCATCAGTTCACAATTAATTGACAGTACATGGACCAGACACCTCTCGTTTTATTCTAGCCCTCAGTCTGCGCAGTTCAACATGGCCGCTGTCTACTTTAAGCCCGGTCTCGGTCAAAAACCAGGCCTTCTCCAGTTTTTGCTCTCCATAGTTTTGCAGAGCAAAGCGCAGATACATTTCAGCAAGGCGTTGTCTTCCCAGACTAGCTTCCACACACAGCAGTGCCTGCTCCTCGTGCAGGTCCAGGGCTTGAGAAAAGTCCTGTAAACCAGATTCCTCATGGGAACACAACAGCAAACAACGGCCTCGGCGGCAAAGGTCCTCTGCCCAGACCCTCTGCTCCTCTCTGCCGTCCGCAGTGTGACCTTGGATGACTTTACTCAGATCAGACACTGCCCTATCGTGGAGGCCGAGTTGAGCCAGACAGGCTGCTCTCTGTCTGAGGTACTGAAGCTTTATCTCACTGACCCCTCGCACTGCTAATGTAAGGAGAGCTAAAGCTTGCTCCCATTGGCCACTTTCAGAAACACAGCTGGCCTGCTGAGATGCCGCCTGGAAGCACACAGTCACTTCATTAGCCACTGTAGTAACAAGAGGTAGGATCAATGAAACATTATATTAGTGGGTTACCTGTGCTAAGCGTTTTCTTTGGGCTGACTGCAGAAGACTGATTAGAAAGTCTAGAGTTGCTGGTTCTTTCTCTGCCACTACACTCAGATAACTGGCAGACACTTTGTAGTTCTGCTGCCAGGCCTTTACAATGCCCCATCTGGCTTTAGCTGCGGCATCTCGAGGCTCCTGACCAAACACCTGCTTCAGGTGAGCACCTGCTGCATTCACATCCCCTTCACAAACATCAAAAGGCAATTTTGTAAAACAAAAGTCATACAGATGCTTGATTTCTTCATTGGAGATCAAAATTAGAGAACAACCTACAATTTTCTAAATTGGAAAGGGAGTGGTTAGTCCTATTTTAGTCCTATTTATTGGAAAGTTTTTTTTAAATTGTATTTTTTCATTTTTAAAATTGAACAATGATAAATATTTGAAAACACTTTCAGGCCATGTCCATGCATACACTGTTTTTTTTTTTTTTTGTCCTAAAACCTTTCTCCTATAAAAAATTATTCTACCAAACCAACAGGTAGCAATATAACCCCAAGCATAAAGCCTTGTTGGCCAACCAGAAGCCTGCAAAAGAAGATTAGGGGCCACAATCAGATGACAAACAAAGGAGAAAATCGCATGTTCGCTGACTTCATGAGATGAAAAAAAATTTCATTAGTCACATGGCAGTTCTTAAAATGCTTTATCCTGGAAGATATTTTCAAAAGTTTCAGTTTCAATCGAAAGGGTCTGGATGCAGACCTGGTGCAGTGCAATCTGAGCTACATCCAATGCTTTTTAATGCACTCACCTAACCCCACCCTTAACTTTACCCCTTACAGTGACGTCAGTAGGTCTAATGAGTGTATTGTGTCTGATATTGCATCACTGAGATATGCAGTCTCAGCTTGCATCATCAAGGCTGCATCCAGATATTATTGTTTCAATCATATGATACTGCATTTGCTGCAGTTTTTAATATGCTCTCTGTACCCAATGTGTTATCCAGGCACCGAATGGTGGTGGCAATTCCATTATTTATCTGACAAAGCCTATTTAGCTCACAGTTTTTCTAGTTTTACTTATTTTGTAAGATGATAAGACCCAACCACAGCAGGTTGTCCAAATGAAGGCCAATGGGAAACTCTTTCAGCCACAATAAGAGAATTTGGTTATTTCAAATCTGTGCCTTCTAAAATATTGCATGTTAATTTCAATACACTCATTCAAGTCTCCCAAAAAGCCTGGTCGTCCATGAAAGACAAAGGAGCGGGTGTTGCTTGCCAGGTAATTTTGAAGATAACTCAGCCATTTCACCCTGCAGCCCAAGACGGTTACTCACTGAAGCTAAGCAGGGCTGAGCCTGGTCAGTACCAGGAAGAGTGACCACATGGGAAAACTAGGTTGCTGTTGGAAGGATAGGGGTCTGGATGCAGACCTAGTGCAGTGTAATCTGAGCTGCATTAAAAACCGAGGTCCTAACTCTCTGTGATCATTAAAAATCCCATGGCACTTCTCATAAATTGTAGGGGTGCGACAATGGTGTCCTGGCCGACTTCCCTCCATTGGCCCTCAACCATCATGGCCTCCCAATCATCCCCATCAACCTAATTGGCTGTATCACTGTGTCTCCACTTGCCACCAATAGCTGGTGTGTAGTGAGAGCACTGGTGCTGTTGTTCTGTGGCTGCTGTCGCATCATCCAAGTGGATGCTACACACTGGTGGTGGTGTGGAGAGACCCCCCTCGTGATTGTGAAGCACTTTGGGTGTATGGCCATAAACAATAAATGAGCTATATAAATACACATTACATTACATAACATTATTTATGAAAAAAGTCAGCTGTTTGTAAATTGTTCTGTAATTTTGATCTTTACCGTATGCTCCATACCTTTGGCAAGCAGTGTATCTATGTAGAGGAGGTGCCACCTGGGTTCCCTGCAGTCGGTATTCATTAGTGCTCCACTAATCAGAAAGGCCTCTCGAAGATGCTCCTCTCGACAGGGCACAGGATTGGATAAC